ATCAACTACTTTTTCAGGACTTATACTATGGTCTGTGCTATACTTTAAAATGATTTGGGGGGGATTGTTGTAAATTAATAATAAATGAATGGGTGTTGGGCTATATAATGTTATTTATTAGCCCTAAGATCGTTATGGTTGTATTACCTAACCTGCTATCACAAATAATAAGACACAGACACTTGTTAGATTTTTATAATTGCCTTATTTACCTTGGGCCAGGCAGATTTTCATACCTAGGGTGTCTGAATAACCTCACCATCCATCTCCCAGCCCCCATCCAATGTCATCCACCTTAATCATTTCAATCTGGACTACCTTCCATCCATAATCCCATGATACTTGCTTGTATTCTTCATCTGGGCCTTTCCACACCATTATTGAAGTTCTTCTTCTTCTCCCATGTGGTTCTAGCTCCAGTTTAACCCATTGTGGCATCCTCCTTCCTTTTGTCTTTCCATTCATCTGATTCCCATGATTCTCTCTTGAACTCCAAAGCCCAGGATCCTTAGTCATGCCCACCCCATTCTGCCCTGCCCAGGTATAGGCTGTTTAATCAACCACTCAGGTATAATGCCTTAGGCAAGTTTACACAACAAGAATAGGTTTATACAACAAAGATAGGTTTACGTAAGAATGTGCTCATCTGAGCAGGGACAAGCTCTTGGGGCCAGTAGTTAACACCAAATACATAGTACTAGGCCAACCCCCAACAAGGGATATGAATTATTAATCTTTTTTGTGTTCTATACCCATAATGTAATTTTCTGATTCCAAATATATTAAATTTTCTTTTTTTCTTCTGTAATGTATTTTGACGTCATAATTGAGTCATATGGCTGTAGATGCATGCTTTAGTTTTGATTCTTTTGATATATTTGTTGGTTTCATCCCTTTTTAAACCAGTACCATGATGGTCTTATTTGGTACTGAGGAATTTAATGGAAAATAAAACATTGTGACACTTTTAACATTGTTCTTTCTGAGATGGATTGTTTAAAATAGTCAGGGGATTTTGTGTTTATATTCAGATTTGAGAATTTCTCTCTCTATTTCCCTGAAGATTACTTTTTTAGAACCTTGATAGGAATTTCCCTGAATTTGTTGACTTTTTCAGTAATATGAGTATTTTGACAATATGTTTCTTGTCATTTCATGAGAATAGGTGCTTTTCCTAACTTTTAATGTCTTATTTATTTTCTTCAAAGTTTTAAAGTTTTCATTGTGGGGGTTCTCACATCACTTTATTTAGGTGATTGTCACCTTGACGTAGTCTACAGTCACCCGGAAGATAGATTCAGTGAGGTGCTGTCTACATTGGATTGGCCTGTGCTCATATCTGTGGGTTATCTCAATTAAGTTAATTGATAATGGGAAGTCACAGACACTATAGGCAGCACCCTTTTCTAGACAGGCGGCCTTGAATTGTGTGAGTAAGAGAGGACAATCAAATAGGCAGTGAGCATGCATGCATTCACTACTCTCTGCTCTTACCTATAGCTCCATGCTTCTTTGCTTGAGTGCCCAATAGTGATGGACTGTAACTTGGAATTAACAGTTAAAACAAATTCTTTCTACCTTGGGTTGTTTCTTGTCAGGATACTTTTTCACATCTATAGAACTGGGCAGGCACATTTGAAGGTATTTATTTCATTGAGGCTATTTTAAATGTGTTGTATTCTTAAACTCTCTCTCAATGTGTACCTTATGGGTATATAGAAATGCTGATTGTTCTTGTATGTTCTCTTTCACATCCTAACATTTTTTGATAGAGTTTTTGTTTTTGTTTTTATTTTTGTTTTTTCTGATCTAAGGGTTTTCTGGTAGAGTCTGTTGTAATTATTGAATCATGTCATCCCAAACAGGGATAATTTGGTTTCTTCCTGTGTTCTTTGGGACACATTCTTTTTATGCTGATTTTCTTGCCTAAAAATTTAGGCAACTCTAACAGTTATTCTTCTATCACTGTGATAAAGTTCTCTGACAAGAAGCAAGTCTGGGAATAAAGGCTTTATTCTGGTTTGAAGTTCAGAGTGTTAGAGTCCATCACAACAGGGAAGAGAAAGTGACAGGTAAGAAAGACATAGCAGCAGGGACAAGCAATTGAGCACATTTTTCATTTGTACACATGAGTCAGAGAAGGGAAATACGATGTGGAAGAAGACATTAAAACCTCAAGTCTTCCTTGAGTGTCTTTCTTCTAGCAATGTGCAGCCTTCTAAAGTAGTTGTTCTGAATCTGTGGGTTGTGACCTCTTGAGTGTCAAAAGACCCTTTCACAGGGTACACATATCAGATATTTTGTGTATCAGATAATATCAGACGCTTACTTTATATTCATAACAGTAGCAAAAAGCCGGAGACTGACTGCCCAAGTAAAATTCCTATGACTCGAATCACCCTGTTCCTGGCCTTGAGTAATTGCCTAACAAATGGCCTTCAAGATAAATGGCCTTCAAGATAAATTGTCTCCCTGGGCAGGCAGGCTGGAACTTCCCAAGAGAAACTGCAAGATGTTCCTTTTCCAGGCCTGCTGAGGCTGACTCCCCCCGCCCTGCTCGCCTACTTCCTGGTAAGACTGTCTTAAAAAGAAGTAGCTTTCTTTCAACAAACGAGACCTTGACAAGACTTTGGTTTGCTTGGTCTCATCTTTCTCAACCGTTTCTTTTTTTTTTTTTTTTTTTTTTCAGGTATAGACCTCCTCGGATCCCCCACGAATAACTGGGTCCCACGGGTTGGGGCAGCAAAATTATAGTTACAAAGTAGCAATGAAAATAATGTTATGGGTGGGGGTCATCACAAATACAAGGAACTGTATAAAAGGACCACAGCGTTAGGAAAGCTGACAACTACTCTCTTAAAGTTTCTGTAGACTTTTCAAACATCTTCCTCAGCTGGGGAGGAAGTGTTCAACTACACAAGCCTATGGAGGCATTTCCTACTAAAACCATCACAGCGCACAGTGAAAAGCGTTTAGAGAACGGACACATTTCTCTCAGTCCATATTAGTAAAGGAAAATGCTTAATTTTCTTCTGTCAATATCCTTAAAAAGATAAGTGTGACATAAGAAACATTTATTATGTCTGTAATTTCCTTTGATTCCTATTTTCATCAGGATGTTGTGTCATTAAGAAAAGTATCTTAAAAACAAAACAATAAACAATAAAAAAACAAAAAGCAAACACTTTTCTTTTGTTCTCTTCTCTTTTTTCCTTCTGACTCTCCTTCACAGAATTACAAGGAATCAGCTTCTTGTCTGCCATATTACCCAGAAGTTGCTCTGATTGATTTTATTTTCAATCCCCTCTGCTTTGAGACAACTTAAAGCTTTTTGTTTTGTTTTTTGCTTTTTTCCGGCAAGACTTTTTCCTTACTTTGAAATTCAACAAATTACCCAAATATATTTTAGGTGTGGAGAGGGAATGGATTTCTATGGCATTTTCACTTCCATGTGGTTTTATTTCTGGAAAATTTTCCTGTCTTTTTTTTTTTCAATTCTATTTTTTTCAGTTGTTTCCTTGAGTTTTGACTTTTGTGTTGCACACAGTAGTTTTCAGATCCACCGTTCTTCTTTTTTATTTTATTTTATTGATTACACTTTATTCACTTTGTATCCCCCTATAAGCTCCTCCCTCCTCCCCTCCCGACCCCACCCTTCCACCCCCTTTTTCATGCATGCCTCTCCCCAAGTCCACTGATAGGGGAGGTCCTCCTCTCCTTCCTTCTGATCTTAGTCTATCAGATCTCATCAGGAGTGGCTGCATTGTCATCTTCTGTGGCCTGGTAAGGCTGGTCCCCCCTCAGGGGGAGGTGATCAAAGAGCAGGCCAATCAGATTATGTCAGAGTCAGTCCCTCTTCCCATTACTATGTAACTCACTTGAACACTAAACTGCCACGGGCTACATCTGTGCAGGGGTTCTAGGTTATCTCCATGCCTGGTACTTGGTTGGAGTATGAATCTCTGGGAACACCCTTGTGTTCAAATTTTCTGGTTCTGTTGCTCTCCTTGTGGAGTCCACTGTTCTTCTTCATTAAACATTCTACCTCTGTTTTTGTAGAGTAATGTGGTTTTATTTAAACATTTATGCTGTGTATACTATTTGTGTTGCTGGTGACTGTAGCACAGTCTTGGAAGTGTTTTTGCTTTTCTTCATTTGCTTGGTCATCCATAAAAGGCAGCGACCCTCCTAACCTGAACTTTCTGAAGCACTTTCATATGTCCCCTAGAGCAAGCACCTGCCAGACTGGAGCACATGGGCCACGTTTAGAACAGTAAGCAGTGGGCATCAATAACCCCCTCCTTTCCTTCTCTCTCATTTTCTCCTGTGTCCCGATGTGGTACAAAGCCATGATCATTTTACTGGGGAAGAAAATGCGGAAATAATCACAGAGATGTAAGGAAAGGCCACTAATTATAACTGAATATGTGGTTTTGATTAGGACACAAGCTTGCATGTTATAATTATTGTTTGAGAAGTTGTGCTGCATTTATGTAAGAAACAGAGAACATGGTACATCAACTTCAGTGAAGCTTCTGACAACCAGGGCTTTTCTTTCCAAATATGGAGCTTGTCAGAAGCAGTACCTTGGCTTGAATGGGGAAGATACTGACTTGGAGTGCTTAAGCTGTAAATGGTGATTTGTAGAGGGGTAGCAATGAAACTGCTTAATATGGTGGCCACAGGAGAGTCCAGTGTTTGATGTCATCATTGATCATTTTTCTTTATGGCCACAGCAATGGGAAACTTACTTTCAGGGCAGTGTAGGACAATGCTTGACCAAACACAGTGTTCCTGATGCCCGATCCTTAGGCTTGATAGTCGTGTTGATAGAGAGGATCTCTGTACCTTATTACCATCACTGAAAATGCAATTTTCACAAATCAAAGCCCATTCAGTGCAAGACCCAAGACTTAGGATAACAACAGACAGATTGTAACATGCTAGGAGAGTAATTTATTAGTGCAAGATGTTGAAACCTTCACATTGCTCAGGGAAAGTCAGGTGACTACTAGGTGATGTCTGATCGATGGAAAATAATGCTGAAGATCCTGAAAACCACATGTTATCAAAAGTTGAATCTGGAAATAAACAGAAAGTAAGAGAAGAAAAGTGAGGAGAGGCAGGAAGCTCCTGGAGAAGAAATCTTAACAAACCAAGAGACCAAGGGAAAATGCAATGTGTGCCAGGGGAAATAACATCAAATAATGCATAGTAGTCGATACTCTTTTCAAATTCAGGCAAATACACTCTGACTGGAGTCAACAGTGTGGCACAAGTCCCTGTTTCTCTGTGCAATCTCTGTGATCAGGAGATAAAAGAGTGGGCCACTGCTCCCCAGGTGACCCTCTGATGATATAGAATTGTGAACTCTACTCTCCTTCCAATGGAATAACCAGGGGAGACCCATGGCAGAAGTGGGTGGGTAGTATTGAAACAGGAAGTTTTCAGGTTCCTGGCAGGGCCAGCTAGGTTGGCAGAGAAATATGTCCTGCCAATACTCTGCTCATCAGGATGTTGTCTCCAGTTTCTTTCCTCCAATCTGTCTGATTTTTATTCACTAACAATTCCAACACATTCAATAGAGATAATATCCACTTATTGTACAGATGTTAACTTCAGGAAAGCCCCCAGCAGATTGACAATAGAGGTAGCCTCGAATACTCCCTTTGTGGGCCCTGTTTGTCCTTGTTAGGATGTCATGAGAGTGTTACATGTAGGGTGGAACTCTAGAAGGATGCATCCATCCCAGGTAGTGTTTACAACTGAACTCACATCAGCAGTGTATCCCTGAACCAACCTATCACTGATGTCCTGTGTTTCCCCCATATGTGTGTTCCCCACAGAATGTCAGGTCAACTTACTTTGTGACCTTCTGAGTGTATTATGCAAAATAAACATACCAATACAAATGTTATTTTATTTCTATGTCTTTCGTCCATCATGTCGATACATTTCTTCACTTCCATTTTTGCATCAACAGCCTCTTGAGGTGCATTATATCTCTCAAGTTCCTTCCTCAATGTTGTCTTTTTCCCCGCTACGAAGATGAGGACTTCATGTGCATAAGCTTTGCAGACATGGTCAGCATTAGCTGAAAAGTGTAAGGAGAAAGAGAAAGAGTTACAGTTAACCAATTTTGCTTTGTTTAGTTTTGTTTTTCTGGGACAGGGTTTCTCTGTGTAGCCCTGGCTGTCCTGGAATGCACACTGTAGAGTAGGCCGGCCTGGAACTCACAGAGATCTGCCTGCCTCTGCCTTCTGAGTACTTGGATTAAAGGCATGTGCCACCACCACCTGGCAACTTCTTAATTTTAATTAATTTTTTCACATGAGCCTCTGTGACTTGAGACGGCAGATGAGAGAGTGTACACAGCATATTGTAACCCACTCCGCGACTTTGCTGGTGTAAGATAGCGTGACTTCCTCAAGATCACACAGCAAGGACAGAAGAAAGATAATTGTTGGCTCTCTATATTTCTGTATTTAGTCCACACCCATGACTCCCACAACTTCTATGGCTTGCTGAAATTCCCCTTTCTAGCATTAAAAGTTTGAGGTTTGACTGAATCTTCAGTAGCACTTTTGTGACTCTTGGATAGGTGAACAAAAGGATCTTTTTGCATCATCCAACATAACATGAATAACAGAATTAGAATTTTACCAAGAGACAAAAAAAAGTAAAAAGCAAATAGACTGATCATATGTAGAATGGTAACATTTTGAAATGGACAGACTAAGATCATGGCATCAGGTACAGTTCAAGGTTAAAAGCTAAAGTTCTAAGAGGTGATCAGTTTTGATACACACCAGAGCTTATCTGGGAAATCTGGATAGAAAAGGAAATCCTTTTCTACAGTGATGGTCAGATTACTTCTAGGGAGTACCGATTTTAAAGATCTATCATGAATGTTTGTATAGAACTGAAGAAATCAACTTTCCTAATCTATGTTCTACATTCTCTTTATGGTTCTTAAAACAAACAAACAAAAAAGCAAATCTCCAGAGGTTGCCTGGACTGGCCTTAGACCGAAGTTCCTCTTGTTTCAACCTCCTCCAGCTTGGATGGCAGGATGTGTTACCGTAGCCAATTTTCCTATGGACATGACAATAGTATACTTAAGAAGTGCCTGAATAGGGTCTGATGTGAGACTTAAGCAGATTACCACAGTCTGTAGGGAAATGTGGTAGGTTATAGGATGAGGGGTAGTTAGGCAGACAAGAGGAGATCCAGGAAGGAGAAAGTAACTATTAATGAAACTCAGTTCAGTTTGAAGGTACAGATATGTAAGAATGTTCTGTTTATGTGTAAATGTTTGCAAAGATATAGTTAATTTAAGAAAATGGATGGACACGCCATTTCTTTCTTTTTTTTTTTTTGCTGTTAATATTCATGATTTCTTTTCTTTTTTAATTTTTTTATTTTATCATATCATCTGCAAATAGTGATACTTTGACTTCTTCGTTTCCAATTTGTATCTCCTTGGTCTCCTTTAATTGCCTTATTGCTCTAGCAATGGCTTCAAGAACAGTGTTGAAGAGGTACAGAGAGACTGGGCAGCCTTCCCTTGTCCCTGATTTCAGTGGGAATGAGTTAAGTTTCTCTCCATTGAGTTTGATATTGGCTATGGGTTTGCTGTATATTGCCTTTACTATGTTCAGGTATGTGCTTTGTATCCCTGATCTCTCCAAGACTTTGAACATGAATGGATGTTGAATTTTGTCAAATGCATTTTCAGCATCTAAGGAGATGATCATGTGGTTTTTCTCCTTCAGTTTGTTTATGTGGTGGATCACATTGATGGATTTTCGTGTATTGAACCACCCCTGCATGCCTGGGATGAAGCCTACTTGGTCGTAGTTGGATGATGTCTTTGATGTGTTCTTGTATTCAGTTTCCAAGTATTTTGTTGAGTGTTTTGGCCACGCCATTTCTATCAACATTCTATCAACAGGACCCTCAGGAAACTGACCAACCTACACCGGTCTGACTATCCCCAGAGTCTAGTTGAAGGATTTGAAGATATTTAACTCACAGATTCAGAGAATATTGACTGTTGGGAATAGAGAGCTCTCTCAAGTTACCTTTCCAGATACAAAGACAATAAACTGCAAAATAACACAACAAACAAAATCCCTTTAATAAAAATATTTCCTCAACTTGGTTCATAGTGGCCTTTTTTGGTTGTTTTATCCCTCTCCCCTGCATCGAGCTTCTCAAGTAAGAGAAAAATTAGTTGAATATTGGCCTATAGACAACATCAAACCAAATAGAGAGAAACTTAAATAAATTCCACTGAAATCAGGGACAAGGCAAGGCTGCCCACTCTCTCTGTATCTCTTCAACACAGTACTTGAAGTCCTAGCTAGAGCAAAAAGCCAACTAAAAGAGATCAAGGTGGTACAAATTGGAAAAGAAGAAGCCAAAGTATCACTGTTCACATATGATATAATATTAAACATGAATGACCCCCAAAATTTTACCAGGGAACTCCTCCTTCATCAAAATGGCTGGATAAAAAAAAATAACTAAAAAAAAAACAGTATCCCTCCTGTATACAAAAGTCAAATGGGCTAAGAAACAAATTAGGGAAACAACATACTTCACAATAGCAAGAAAAATCATTTAGTATCTTGGTGTAACTCTAACCAAGCAAGTGAAAGACTTGTTTGAAGAAAATGTCAAGTCTCTGAAGAAAGAAACAGAAGAAGATTTCAGAAGAAGGAAATATCTCCCATGTTCATGACTCTGTGGGATTAACATAGAAAAATGGCCACCACACCAAAAGCAATCTACAAATTCAATGCAATTCCCATCAAAATACCAACACAATTATAAAGACCTTGAAAGAACAATTCTGAACTTCATATGGAAATTTTTTTTTAAAAACCCAGAATATCTGAAGCAATCCTGTACAATGAACTATCTTCTGGAGGTATCTCTATTCCTGATCTCAAGCTGTACTATAGAGCAACAGTAATAAAAACTGCATGCTACTTGCATAGAAACAGACTGGTGGATCAGTGGAATCACATTAAAGACTCAGAAATAAACCCACATACTTATGGACACCTGATTTTTGACAAAGATGTGAAAACCATAAAATGGAAAAAAAAAGATAGCATCTTCAATAAGTGGTGCTAGTCTAACTGGATGTCTACATGTAGAAAAATGCAAATAGACTCATATCTATCAATATGCACAAAATTAAAGTTTAAAGGGTCAAAGACCTCAACATAAAACCAGACAACTAAATCTGTTGGAAGAAAAAGTGGGGGCAAACCTTGAACTCATTGGCACAAGAGACAACCTCCTGAACAGAACACCAACAACTCAACCACTAAGATCAACAACTAATGAATGGGACCTCATGAAACTGAAAAGCTTCTTTAAAGCAAAGGACCCTGTCAACAGAACAAAACGACATCCTACAGACTGGGAAAAGATCTTTATAAACCCTACATCCGGCAGAAGGCTAATATCCAGAATGAATTCAAGAAATTAAACACCAACAAACCAAACAACCTAATGAAAAATTGAGCAGAGAGCTAAACAGAGAATTCTCAACAGAGGAATTTTGAATGGCAGAGAAACACTTAAAGAAATGCTTTTTGTCTGATGTTCTTCCATTCTATTATCACCCTGAACAAAACTAAAGTACAAGTGGATCAAAGACCTCAACATAAAACCAGACCCATTAAATCAGTTAGAAGAAAAAGTGGTGAAGAGCCTTGAACTCATTAGCACAGGAGACAACTTGCTGAACAGAAACAAACAGCACAGGCTCTAAGAGCAACAATCAATAAATGGGACCTCATGAAACTGAAAAGCTTCTGTAAAGCAAAGGACACCATCATCAAAACAAAACGACTGCTTACAGATTGAAAAAGAATCTTCCCCAACCCTTTATCTGACAGAGGGCTAATATCCGGTATATATAAAGAACTAAAGAAGCTGAAAAGCAGCAAACCGAGAAATCCAATTAAAAAAATGGGGAACAGAGCTAAACAGAACTCTCTGTAGAGGAATACCGAATGGCAGAGAAACACATAAAGAAATGCTCAACGTCATTAGCAATTAGAGAAATGCAAATCAAAACGACTCTGAGATTTCACCTTACACCCATCAGAATGGCCAAGATGAAAAACTCAAGTGACAACACATGCTGAAGAGGTTGTGGAGAAAGGGGAACCCTCCTCCACTGCTGGTAGGAATGCAAACTTGTACAACCACTCTGGAAATCAATCTGGCGCTTTCTCAGACAACTAGGAATAGCGCTTCCTCAAGATCCAGCTATACCACTCCTAGGCATATATCCAAAAGATTCCCAAGTACACAATAAGGACATTTGCTCAACCATGTTTGTAGCAGCCTTATTTGTAAGAGCCAGAAGCAGGAAACAGCCCAGATGCCCCTCATTGGAGGAATGGATGCACAAATTGTGGTATATCTACACAATGGAATATTACTCAGCAATAAAAAAAAAAAACAAGGAAATCATGAAATTTGTGGGTAAATGGTGGGATCTGGAAAGGATCATCCTGAGTGAGCTATCCCAGAAGCAGAAAGACACACAAGATATATACTCACTCATATAGACATATAATATAGGATAAACCTACTAAAATCTGTACACCTAAAGAAACCAATCTAGAGGAAGGACTCTGGCTAAAATGTTCAATCCCTATTTAGAAAGGCAAAGAGGATGGACATCAGAAGAAGAAGAAAACAGGAAACAAGTTAGAAGCCTTCCACAGAGGACCTCTGAAAGGCTCTGCCCTGCAGACTAATTTTCTGAAAGTGAAAAATTTGCCCCCTTTTTTATGTCCAGTACTTCATTATACGAATATAAATTTTCTTTATCTGTTTGTTTATTAATGTGCACCAAGATGGATGATTTTATTAACATCAAGATTAGCATATTGCCATGAGCATAATGGATATATGGTTGCATAGGGTATACCATAACTATGTAGAAATCTGTGTGTCTGTGTGTGTATGCGCACCTGTGTGTGTGTGTGTGTGTGTGTGTGTGTGCATGTTCCTTCAAACAGATTCAAGTAGTATCTTGGCTTGGATATCTTTTTATTTGCATGTAATTTAAGACAGATTGAAGTCTTCCTTTTAGGATTTAAATAAAAATCCATTTTACTTGAAAAAAAAAAAAAGAAATGCTCAACATCCTTAGTCATCAGGGAAATGCAAATCAAAACGACTCTCAGATTCCATCTTAAAATTATCAGCATGGCCTATGATCAAAATCTCAAGTGGCATCTCATGCTGGAGAGAATCTCGAGAAAGGAAAACTCTCCTCCATTGTAGGTGGGAGTGCAAACTTGTATAAGCACTTTAGAAATCAGTCTGTCGCTTTCTCAGTAATAGCTCTACCTCTTACCTGCAAATTTCATGTAAATGGTGGGATCTGGAAAAGATAATCCTGAGTGAGCTATCCCAGAAGCAGAAAGATGCACACAGTATATACTCACTCATATAGACATATAATAAAGGATAAACCTACTAAAATCTGTACACCTAAAGAAACCAATCTAGAGGGAGGACTCTTGCTAAAATGTTCAATTCCTATCCAGAAAGCAAAGAGGTTGGACATCAGAAAAAGGAGAAAAGAGGGAACAAGTCAGGAGCCTGACACAGAGGACCTCTGAAAAGCTCTGCCCTGCAGACTATCAATGTAGATGCTGAGACTTATGGGCCACCTTTGGGCAGAGTGCAGGGAATCTTAGGAAAGAAGTGGGAAACAGTAAGATCTGGAGAGGACAGAAATTCCACAAGGAGAACAACAGAACCAAAAAATTCTGAGCACAGGGGTCTTTCCTGAGACTGCTATTCCAACCAAGGACTATGCATGGAGATAACCTAAGACCCCTGCGCAGATGTAGCCCATGGCAGTTCAGTATCCAAGTGGGTTCCATTGTAATAGGAATAGGGACTGTCTCTGACATGAACTGATTGGCCTGCTCTTTAATTACCTTCCCCTGAGGGGGAAGCAGCATTACCAGGCCACAGAGGAGGACAGTGCAGCCACTCCTGATGAGACCTAATTGACTAGGATCAGAAGGAAGGAAAAGAACTCCTCCCCTATCAGTGGGCTTGGGGAGGGGCATGCATGCAGAGGGGGGAGGAAGGGAGGGATTGGGATGGGAGAAGGGAGAGAACCACAGGGGGGATACAAACTGAATTAAGTGTAAAAGAAAAATAGCTCTACCTCAAGTTCCAGCTATACTACTCCTGGGTATATATCTGAAATTGCTCCACCGTTCACCAAGGGCATTTGCTCAACTATGCTCATAGAAGATTTATTTGTAAAAGCCAGAATCTGGAAACAACCAAGATGTCCCTCAAAAGAGCAATGAATACAGAAATCGTGGTACATTTACACAATGGAATACTACTCAGCTATTAAAAACAAGGAAATCATGAAAGTTGCAGGCAAGGGGATGGAACTAGAAAGGATCATTCTGAGCGAGATAAACCAGAACCAGAAAAACACACATGGTATATATTCACTTATAAGCAGCTATTAACCATATCATATAGGATAATGATACTAAAATTTACAGACCTAAAGAGCTAAAGAACAAGAAGGACCCTAGGGAGGATGCTTAAATCTCATGAAGAATGGCAAACAGATTCTGGCTGTATGAATAAAACTGTTATGCACATAGTTGAGTATCCTTGTTATATGGTTGAGCATCTTTTGGATATATGCTGAGGAGTGGAATAGCTGGATCTTGAGACAACACTATACCTAATTTTCTGAGAAAATGACAGCTTGATTTACAAAGTGGTTGTAAAGTTTACATTCCTACCAGTAATGGAAGAGGGCTTCCCTTTCTCCACAACCTCTCCAGCATGTGTTATCCCTTGAGATTCTCTGCCATTTGATATTCCTCTGTTGAGAATTCTATGTTTAACTCTGTATCCCATTTTTTAATAGGATTCCTTGGTTTGTTGGCCAGAATCTGCAAAAAACCTAGATGTCCTTCAACTGAAGAATGGATACAGAAACAGTGGTACATTTATACAACGGAATATTACTCAGCAATTAAAAACAAGGAAATCATGAAAAATGCTGGAAAATGGATAGAAGTAGAAAAGATCATCTTGAGTGAGGTCACCCCAAAGCAGAAAGACACATATGTTATATATTCACTTAAAAGTAGATAATAGCCACATAGTACAGGATAAACATACCAAAAGCCAAACAACAAGGAGGATCCTAGGGAAGATGCTTAATCCTCATTCAAAAGAGCAAACAGGATAGACATCAAAAGCAAGGGAAGACAGGGAACAAAACAGGAACCTTCCACAGGGGGCCTCTGAAAGAATATACTCATCAGAGTAGTGAAGTTGATGCCTAGAGACTCATAGCCAAACTTTGGCTAGAGTGCAGGAAATCTTACGGAAGAAGGGGAAGATAGAAAGACCTGGAGGGGACTGGAGCTCCACAAGGAGACCAACAAACCAGAAAATCTGGGCCCAGTGCAGAGACCAATACTCCAACCAAGGAAAATGCATGGAGAGGAACTAGAACCCCACTCCTGTTCATATGAAGCCCATAGGCTGCTCAGTTTCCAAGTGGGTACCCTAGTAAGGGGAACAGGAGCTGTCTCTGACATGAACTCAGTGGCTGGTTTTTTGATCACCTGCCACTGGGGCTATAGCCTTGCCAGGCCACAGAGGAAGATGATTCAGCCTCTCCTGATGAGACCTGATAGCCTAGGGTCAGATAGAAGGGGAGGAAGTACTCTCCTATCAGGGGACTAGGGGAGGGGTAGAGGGAGAGAAGAGGGAGAGAAGAGGGCTGGTTGGGATTGTGAGGAGATGATGGAGGGAGCCTCAGCAGGTAAACAAAATGAATAAATTGTAATAAATAAACAAATAAAATGTTAAAAAATGACAAGAAACCCCATAAAAGAATAGCAAACAGGATAGACACCAGAAGTGGTGGAAGAGAGGGGACAGGCTAAGAGCCTAACATAGAGGTCCTCTAAGAGACTCCATCCAATGAAGGATCGAAGGATCAAAGCAGATGCAGAGACTCACGGCCAAACTTTGGGCTGAGCACAGGGAGTTTTATGGAAGAAGGGAGTGGAGAAATTAAAGGACTCAGAGAGAGTAAGAGCTCCACAAAGGGACCAACAAAGCCAAAAAACTTTTCCCAGTGTGTCCTACAAAGACATGCACCAACCAAGGACCATGCATGGAGAGGACCTAGACTCCCTGCTCAGAAGTAGCCTATAGGCAGCTCAGTCTTCTTGTGGGTGTCCCAGTAAGGGGAGCAGGGGATGTCTCTGACATGAGATGTCTCTGACATGAACTTTGTTGTCTGCTCTTTGATCACTAGCCCCTGGCGATGGGACCTTGCCAGGCCACAAAGGACAAGGATCCAGGCAGTCCTGATGAGACTTGTTAAGCTGGGGTCATTTGGCAGGGGAGGGGACTCCCCTGTTCAGTGGACTGTGGGAAGGGGTTAAGGGGAAAGAGGCAGGGAGTGTGGAAGTGGGAGGAGATCAGGGAGGCGATGACAATTGATATATAACATGTAAAAAATAAAATAAAATAATAGAGAGAGAGAAAAGGAGGGTTAGTAAAGGAGGTTGGAACAAATTTTAGATTATTAATCTTTTCCTAACATGAACCTTATCACACATAAACTTGTCAACTGTTCAAAGAGGTGAACTCACCAGGAGCTGTGGCTGGATGAATCATAAATAATACTCACCTTCATAGCAAAAAACAGCCAGGATGAGTAAGAGAAAACACAGGCTCAGCCTCATGGTGCTCAGTTTGCTTTTAGACTTAGCAAATATGAGCAAATGGAATCTACCAGAACCTGTGGAGACCAGGGATATTTATACATGGTGAGGTTTACAGGTCCTTCCCTCAGGCAAATGAGCTCAGAAAGCCTGTGTAGGCCCTCCTTCTGTGTCACTGAGGCCTGATCCCCTCACCCCATCCATCCTGTTGGGCTCTAGCCTGGAAGAATAACCTCGTGGGATCATTACTCTTCCTTCAGGTGACTTTCACATTAACCAGGAAGCAATCTGTGATGTTTCAGTTTACCTTTGAGCTTTTGATTATTGCGCTTGATTTCTCTCTTGCTCAACAGGCACAGGTGGCTTCTGACATCAGGATGACCTTCTCTAGGGCATAGAACCTCCAAATACCAGCCCTGGAAATGAGAGCTTTGCAACTGGACTCTGCCATCATTCGTACAAATTCCAGAATAGAACTACATCAAAAGACCAGGAAGATCTGCAGAAACAACCACAACACACTGGAAACAAATATCAAAATACACTCCAAATTTGTTAAAGAAGGAAACATTGGATAAGAGAAAGTAAAACTGCTACAGAGGGCCTCTGAAAGCCAGAAGAAGAAAACAGGAAACAACCTAGGAACCTGCCACAGAGGGCCTCTGAAAGCCTCTGCCCTGCAGACTATCAAAGCAGATGCTGAGCCTGATGGCCAACTGTCGGGCAGTGTGAATGGAATTTTAGGTAAGAAGTGGGAAATAGCAAGAGCTGGAGAGGACAGGAACTCCACAAGGAGAGCAACAGAACAAGAAAATTTGAACACAGGGAACTTCCCAGAGACTCATATTCCAACCAAGGACTATTCATGGAGATAACCTAGAACCCCTGCACAGATGTAGCCCATGGCAGTTCAGTGTCCAAGTGGGTTACATAGTAATGGGAAGAGGGACTGACTCTGACATAATCTGATTGGCCTGTTCTTTGATCACCTCCCCCTAACGGGGGAGCAGCCTTACCAGGCCACAGAAGATGACAATGCAGCCACTTCTGATGAGAACTGATAGACTAAGATCAGAGAGAAGGAGAGGAGGACCTCCCCTATCAGTGGACTTGGGGAGGGGCATGCATGCAGAAAGGGGAGGTAGGGTGGAATCGGGAGGGGAGGAGGGAGGGGCTTATGGGTGGTACAAAATGAATAAAGTGTAATTAATAATAAAAAATATTAAAAAAAGAAAAAGTAAAAATGATAGAGCATAAAGCATAGAAAACATCAATGAAACAAAGACACAGCACTAAAAAACTAAACCAGAGAAATACATATGTAGACTAACATAGAGAAAAAAATGAAAAAAAAATCTGAAAGAAACTATGGAACAAAACGGGAGCCATTACCAATTATACAATGTGTGGCTGGTGTCCTTATGATAAACTTCATGCCAACAAATGTCATCACCCAGAATGCCAGAGCCATTTATGAATATATATGTGTATATATACATATATAGTGTACCAAGATAGAATCATGAAGAATTTTTAAAAACTTGAATAGACAACAATGTGTGTTTGAGTGTATATGTAACAAAAATTTCCATCCCATGAATAATAACTCCAGAACAAAATGGCTTTAGTACTGAAGTCTACCAAACATTTGGACAACTAACATTATTTACTGTTATTATTATTATTATTATTATTATTATTATTATTATTATTATTTGCAAAACTTCTCTTTAGGGAATTGTTTCTAAAATCTTCTACGAGGTCAGAATTTCTCTAATCCAAAATAACACAAAGGCACACTCACGTACACACATAGATCAAACCCACAAAACTCCAGTATCTTCGATGAACATGGTTGTAAAACTACTCATCAAAATTTCAGCAAACAAAACCCAAGAGCTCCCTGGAAAGATTCATTGACATCAAAGGTGTTGCAAGAAGCAATCAATATATGCAAAAAGCACTCATATATCATCACTAGGCATGATATGCTACATCAGTATAATGAAGTAGAAAACCCCTTAATCGTCCTACTAAATGCAGAAAGGGCATCATTTAAAGCTTCAGAAGAACACTTTTGGGCTGGAAAAATAGTTCATCAAAGAAAGAAGCTTGCCACCAAGCCTGATGACCTCAGTTTTCATCCCTTGGATCCACATGGTGCAAGGGAAGAACTGTCTCCCACTGATTGTCCTCTGACCTTTACATGCTTACACGACACATGTGTGCCCCCCCACAAGTGCATAAATAATGTCATACTAACTTTTAGATTAACAATTATCTCGTATAAAACATGGAGTGAGCTTGCATTCAAAAATGTAGCTCATGATGAAAAGACTGCTTATAATAAGACAAAGACAAACATCATCATGAAGGAGGAATAGTTGAAAGCTTTCCTGTCACATCCTGTAACGAATGGTGTCACTTTCTGTGTTTACTGAACGCGTAGGTGTCCTACACACAGCAAGCATACATAAAAAAGACACAGGCAGCCATACTGGAAAGAGGACAAAACACTGTCAGTGTCTGAAGATGCCACATCTTATATGTAGACACAAAGATTCTACCAGAAAAGTTACACTTTATAAATCAGCTAAGCAGGTCTTCCAGGGACAAACCGCATACGGCGGTGGTGACAGTAAACATTAACAACCAGTTATCTGAACTATGGAAACAAGTTAGGAGCCTCCCACAGAGGGCCTCTGAAAGGCTCTGCCCTGCAGACTATCAAAGCAAACGCTGAGATTTATGGCCAACTGTTTGGCAGAGTGCATGGAATCTTATGAAAGAAGTGGGAAATAGTAAGATCTGGAGAGGACAGGAACTCCACAAGGAGAGCAACAGAACCAAAATATTTGAACACAGGGGTCTTTTCATAGACTCATACTCCAATGAAATACCATCCATAGAGATAACCTAGAACCCCTGCACAGATGTAGCCCATGGCAGTTTAGTGTCCAAATAGATTCCATAGTAATGGGAACAGAGACTGCCTCTGACATGAACTGATTGGCCTGCTCTTTGATCACCTCCCTCTGAGGTGGGAGCAGCCTTACCAGGCCACAGAAGAAGACAATGCAGCCACTCCTGATGAGATCTGATAGACTAGGATCAGAAGGAAGGAAAGGAATACCTCCCCTATCAGTGGACTTGGGGAGGGGCATGCATGAAGAAGGGGGAGGGAAGGAGGGATTAAGAGGGGAGGAGGGGGGGTTATGGGAAGATACAAAGTGAATAAAGTTTAATTAATAAAAATTAAATTAAAAACAATTAATTTTATTTTTGAAACTCTAAAAAATAAAACTGCAAGATTAAATTTAACTGAAGATTAAAAATCATAAAAATAGGAGGCGGGGCAAGATGGCGGCGCCGGGAGGACTCTCATTCTGAGGAGCAGCACAGCAGGATTGGCACAGTGACCAGCAATCAGAACTCGCGGCCATAAAACACAAGTGGTTGTGTTTCTCAGGTGAGAGGATACCCCATGGTGGGGGATTCGATCAGCTTTAACTCACCCAGCTAAACCGGGGAAGAGATCTCGGTTCCGCCAGGCGCTTGGTCGCCAGCCCAGAGCTACCCGCCAGCGCGATCTGGTCACGGTCCCAGACTGAACTGTGGGCCCACAACACCATAGACTGGATTTCCCAGTCGAGAGATAACCCCACGGAGCAGGAAACAATTGGGACCGACCCCAGGTTACCCAGACATCCCCTGGAAAAGACTCGGGTTCCGCGGGTGCCCCAGGAGCCAGCCCGGACCCAGAGCCGGGACAAAGGCGCCTGCACGGAGCCCTGTCTGCGCCCCTGATTCGCCGCCTCAGATAGAACTGTGGGCACCAGGGCAACAGGGCACCAGACTGCGTGTCTCTGGCAGGAGGAAACCCCCAGCGGAGGGGGTCAGCAGCTCTAACGCTTAGGACACCCAGCACCAAAACACTTCCTGGACTCACGCAGACTCTAGTGCAGGCAGAAGCGCTGTGCTCTGCCGCCATTGTTGCGTTCCCCTGGGGCACTGGGACACACAGCTGCATCCTCGGACCTGCAGGAGCCGAAGAGCCATTACAGCAGCCCTCAGATACTGTGCCAGGGATCGGCCAGTTGTCCCTGGCTGGACTGCCAAAACTGTAGGAATCCCTGATCCTTCAGGGGGGCTGCACCCACAGCGTCTGGACCAGAGCGGTGCCTACAGCCGCCATCCCAGACAGAGACACACAGGTTCTGGTCCAGAGTGAGGCACCCAGCCTCCAGACCAGAGCAGTGCCCCCAGGTGCCAACTCAACCTAGGTGCACATTCTCCAGGTCCAGAGCAGAGCAATCAGCCTTTGGCCCAGAGATTTGCTGAGTGCACCTCCCACTTTCTCAGACAGAACTGTGCGCCCCAGGATAACAGACTGAGTTTTCCTGTTGGGAGAAAACCCCACAGCTAGGGAATCAGCAGTCTCTTCAAGAGGACTGTACATGGAAATTTAGTGAGCAGCAGCACACTAAATTTATAACAAGAAACCCAGCAGTGGGGCAGCTGTCTTGAGAACTTCTATGGGTAAGAGGAGATCCCCCCCTGCCTAACATAGACCACAGCTACTACTCAGGGCTATAAACCTGAGGTGAGCAGTGGCAACTCCTGAGAAACATTGGCCATACAGTGACCATAACCAAAAAGCAGAGAAGGACTCCTTCAGGAAAAATCATCTTCTGGCCAAGGGGATACTCCCTACCTCAGGACTCCAGGAAGCACAGAAACTAACAACCAAAACCTAAATCAGCCCAATGGGTAGAGGTCAGCGTAAAGGCTCAACCAACAAAAGACAGAGCAATATGGCATCTCCAGAACCCAGCCATCCAGGGGCAAACAGCCCTGAACAATGCAGCATAATAGAAAATCAAGAAGATGACCTTACATCTATGTTGATGAAGAGAATAATAGAGGAAACAGATAAAATACGTAAAGAATTAGAGGAGGATAAAACCAAACAGATCATGGCTATCCGTAAAGAAATGGAGGAAGATAAAGACAAGCAAATTATGGCCATCCGTGAA